CTTCTGACTCTTGATAACGCTAGAGATATACAAACAGCGGTTTTCCGTCTCTTTTGCCTTTTGGAGTGCATTTGCAACTGCTGTACCGACCGAAGAAAGCATTGTCCAGGGAAACGGAAGCATGCCATCGTTAATGTATTCGACCTTCTTGCTTCGAATGTCAACGTTGATGAAGCCGGTTCGGATGTTCCAATCTAAGAAAGCCCCATTCGATATAGCACTCCATGTGAGCTTTCTCTCAGCAGCCAATTCCTTGACTCGCCGAAGAGCTTGGTTTTTTCCATGGTGCACGAGCGGCGAGCGAGCTACAGGATCTTCAGGATCGACACTGAATTCGCTGAGGATGATACGGTATACCCGGGCGGAAGCAGCAGCTTCGACAATTCGCCCTGGAAGGGTTGGATCGGGCCCGGATGTTGCATCCACGATGGCATGTTGACCACGTAGGGCCTCGGTTATCTCTGCGATAGAGTCGGTGTTGACAACCTTGACTGACACACCCGATGGGAATGCTCTACCCCCCTTGCGAGCAATGACAGTAATATTGAAACCGGCTTCAAGAAGGCTAGTCAATATGGGCGATCCTACATTACCGGTCGCCTGTGTCATGTTAGTCGATTATGCCTAGGTCTTTTGAAAATATCCTTACTCCTGTGAGTGCAACGTTGGTGATTGTCTTTGACATGGTTCTTCTTTTTAGGCTGACAAAGGTCTTGGTGGTGTGCAGGCGTTGTATTGTTACGGTAAGGTTGAAGATGGCGAAGTTGAACTTAGTGCATAGATTGTGACGGTCGTTATATAGACGATGTCTATCTCGCATTGTACGCAGTCGACCTACTTAACCAGACGTCCACATTTTGTCCGTCTTGCAAAGCATGCTGCAAGAGGCTAAGTATCCTTAATCAGCACCTAGACAGCCCTAACCTACCATCCAGGTAATACGAGGTTGAGATCGGTACGCTAGTCACCCAACGGGCCGGCATGCTTAACTATACATCCGCTCCGACTCGCCTCGTGTTTGTCTGACAAAGCACCTTGGCCTAGCAACTCCTGTCTCTAGTGATGCCATCGACTGCAAGGAGAGCGGGGCTGAACACTTAGCTTACAATTGCGGGGCTTCTCTTACGGCAGCAGATGATAGTCCCCGAAACCTTCGTTAGGTAAACGCCGACTAGATGGATTTGAACACCGACACACGCAAAGTTACTAGTGTACGATAAGACAACATAAGAATCTTCGCTCGGCCGAGCAATCAGGAATTATATAAAACCTTTACCTCGGCCGTCCATTCTGTAAAGAATAGTAAAGCGTTTTTGGGATCGAATTCGTCCGAATAAACAGAATAGTGGTTGCAGATTGTAATTCTGGCAACTTGCACCCACCAGCCTCATTTCGGACGTCGAGGGCCGAGGAAGCAACTTAGAAACAGTGGAAAATGAAGTAAGCACTGAGCCGTTGATGCTACTGTACGGTACTGACTAGCACAGGGACTCTCTCAGCTCAGGCGGTGAGAGCCCGTATTATGACTTGGGTGAATATGAACGTGAAATCCATACAACATCGCAGGAAGCGCAAACGTGGTTCAATCGTGGCCTTGTGTGGTGCTACTCGTTCAACCACGAAGCGGCTACGCAATGTTTCGAGACGGCAGCTGTACATGATCCCAATTGCGCAATGGCGTATTGGGGAATTGCATTTGCTGTAGGTCCCAACTACAACAAGTCTTGGCGAATGTTCACACCGGACGATCGTCGCAGCTCCCTGGAAAAGATACTCGGTGCCTTGGCATGCGCAAGGAAAGTACAGGTCGATGTCCCACCCAAGGAAAGAGCACTCATTACTGCACTCACCGCTCGCTTTCCGTGCAGTAATACTGCCATTCCAGCTGATTTATCGCAATTCGACTATGCATACGCAGAAGCTATGCGCCCGGTCTACGAAGCTTACAAAGAAGATCTCGATGTGATGACTCTGTTCGCTGACGCCATCATGTGTACTCGTCCGCGTCAGCTCTGGGACCTCAAGACTGGGAAAACGACAGGGACAGATATAGATGAGGCAAGAGCCGCATTAGAAAAGGGACTAGCATACACTGACGGACAAAATCATCCTGGCCTGTGCCATTTGTACATCCACATGATGGAGATGTCGCCCTTTCCCGAACTGGCTCTGAACGCAGCCGACAGTCTGCGACGGATGGTACCAGATGGTTCCCACATGCAGCACATGGCGACACACATCGACACTGCTTGTGGCGACTACCGTCGGGCTGTTGATTCCAATTTCAACGCTATGCTTGCAGACGACAAATACTTCGCACGCGGAGATACAGCGTCTCTGATGTACACTGCCTATCGAGCACATAATTGCCATGCCATGGCTTATGCTGCCATGATGTCTGGCCGCTCTGGTGATGCACACTATGCCGCCAGGCGGCTGTCTGAGATCTTGACTCTGGATTTTATGTCGATCGAGACACCAAGCATGGTCGATTGGACTGAATGGCAATTAGTGACATTGCCTCACGTAATGGTTCGTTTTGGCCAATGGGAAGAGATCATTAAACTTCCGATGCCAGCAAACCCACAGCTTCTTTGCGTATCGACAGCGACAGTACATTATGCAAAAGGAATCGCCTACGCTGTGCTTGGGCGCATCAAAGAGGCTTGCCACGCAAGAGATGCCTTCGAAAAGGCCCGTCAGGCTGTACCTGCATATCGAATGTACGGTTATTCTCCAGCAGATGCAGTCCTTGCAGTAGCCTCAGCAATGCTTGAAGGCGAGCTGGAGTATCGTAAGGGCAACTTTTCAAAAGCGTTTGCCGTTCTACGCCGTGGCATTGAGATGGAGGATGGTCTTGCCTACGCTGACCCGCCACTCTGGATGCAACCCGTTCGCCACGCTTTAAGTGCACTACTCCTCGAACAAGGACAGTCTGAGGAGGCGGAAAGGCTCTACTCAGAAGACCTGGGCTTGAGTGACACTTCTTCCCGTCGCGTGGCACGTGTCAACAATATATGGGGTCTGCATGGCCTTCATGAATGTTTCATGCTGAATGGCAAACTACAACAAGCCCAGGGTATCCGCCTTCAGCGCGACATCGCTATGGCTTATGCCGACATTTCTGTTAAAGCTTCGTGTTTCTGTCGAGTGAAGGCTATGGAAGTGAAGAACGCCTGTCATTCCACCTAAATAAACATCATATCAGACAATGTAATGTTAAACACGAAACTCCCTTTACTCGTTAACTGTAGCCGAGACAAAAAGGCAACGCAACACGAGACCTTCCATATATCCTTGAATTATTTAGGCCTTCTGGATTTTTCACTTATGGCCCATAATAGAATAAGAAGAGGACACGATATCTCCCCCGCAGTCCCCAAGAAGCTTTCATCTGATTTTCAGCCATCCAATCTCCTCTACAGTAGATGGTCGACCTAACGCGCTGTTACGCTGTGGAAATCGCCCAAAACGACGTAGTAAACTCTTCTTACCCTCGCTGATACCCTCCATGGTCTCTCTAAACTTTTTGAAGCTATCTCTTCTCTTGAGAAGCACAGCATGGTATTGTGCAAAGGGACCTTCCCATCCTTTTACAGCTTTTTCTAGTAGCATCTCATGATCATGCTACATCTCTGAATGAGCTTCTTTCAGCTTTTTGTGTACCTCTAAATTCTCTGAGTGTTCCATTGGCATGTAGAACCAAAATCTATAGGCCAACCGGAAACAAACTCGTTTTTCCTTTGATAAATCAAGTTCGAGTGCCTGGGAAGCAACCTCGAACGCTAACTTGCCAAAGAGCGTAAACACCACCAGAGCTTTCGCGCTGCGGAAGCAATTCCGTGGGATTTGGTCCAAGAGGATGATTAGACTGATCCAATGCAAAGGCGATGAAGGCTTTGCTGCGGTCAGGATATCAGCAACACTTGGTTGCATCGTTTGGATCAGCTCGAGCTGCGCACCAAACTTGCCACCAACCTATCGTGAGCTAGCATCCATAATCGATGAACATCGTATCAGGTGTAATACATACAAACATTCCCAGTCGTATGCGTCGCTTTGCAAAAACCATGGTGCTGCGTCTTCGATGCTGGGGATGATGACATGTTCGGCTTCGAGATGACGGAACCAGAAGTTTGAGATATCGTCAAGGAAAGCGTGTGAGAAGACTCCGTCGAGGGTGGCTTGCGTCATGATTGCTGATCGGGGCCAAAAAGACTGAGGATATTCCAGCGTCAGATAGATGTCCTCAGCTCAAAGATGCTAGAGTTTCTCCAAGGTCTATGCTGTACGTAGCACGTCTCCCGTTGTGTGACGTGTCATGCCAAGTTGTGATCTCATTGTCAGAAAGCTGACGTCGTCCGTCACTGCGAGAGTCGTCCGTAGCAAATACACCCACGGTCAGCCATCAGAGCTAGATCGGGATGTTGGTTGCGGGATCAAGTAGTTTGTATTCATAATCGGCCCGGTTATCGGCATGCACAAAGCAAAGCTCGTTCCGTTCCGCTCTACAACAGCAAATTGTACTGTTTGGTTTTGAGTGATGACGATAATCGTACAAGGTTTCACATATCCGGGCGTTACCGCAGCTGGGCTGGCACGTAGTCTTCGTAAGCATACGTTTTAGGGCGTCATAAAACTCAACGTTGTGTAGATACGGCACAGTTCGTAAAGTTTGCTGCAAGCGCATCGATCACACTTTGCATGGATCAACAAATTACTTAGCCCTGTTCGTTTGTAATAACGATCAGAGCTCTGCGTAATCCTTAGTAAAATCTTATGGGGCCAAAGACGAAAAGAGTTCGCCAAGTTGGAGTAGGTGAGAGAATGACACGACAACGCATATAGGGAGCTGAGATCCAAACTAGACATGCGTTCACCTTATTGCGACTTTCAAATATACTTCTATACACCTGTTGATATTTCGCAATCTCTTCATAGATCATTTGATTGTACATTGTTTGGGGTATCACTCTTTCCGCCAGGAAGCTTACATCAAGATGTCAACCGCTCTGATTCTATCGACCCTGATAGTCATATCCTTGACCTTCAGCTCGGTAGCTTTGAGCCTTCGCCAGCATGAGGTTCCTGACGACCTCATGGAGCGCGGCTTGAATGCCATAGGCATCGATGCGAATACTACTAGAGTGAGAAACGTGAGAATATCCGGCTCTCAATTTCGCACCAAGTCCATGATAACCACGATAGCTTTGGATGGAATGGATTCAACAGTTGTTCCATATGGTAATCAGACAATCACATACTCCTATGGAGAAGGCGGCTTGAAACAACGCATTGATAGATTTGCTGGTTTGGGAAGTACGTAATTCCTCGCGATATACTTAATTCATACACTGATACTATGTCCTAGCCCTTTGGGTGTTCGCACGACCAGCGCTTGAGCCTATGGACTACTCCGTGGTAGTGCAAGATGGCGAGGATGGATCCGCTGCCGTAATCAGGGGTAGTTATTCTCTGTTCGAGCCGTCAGGTGCTCCTGAAGGCTACTTAGACGGCAAGTCGACTTAAACGATACCTGTCTTTTGACCTGACGATCATCAGGATACCTCGCGGCGTACATGATTACTGACAGCCACAAGTGGGATCCTCTTTTAGTTAGTAAGATCTCGGCTGGTCAGTTCACTCTTAGTTCCGAAACAGTTGAAGGTGATTTGCTTCTTCCAGCAGGTTGGTGATCCCTCCTAGCGCATATCAAACTTACATTGACTTGCTTCTAGTCTTCGATCTGTCCCTGAACATATCAGTCCTCTTCGATCCTGACACTTACCTGCCCTTCGCTATCCGCACATACGAGGATCATCCCTTCTTCGGCCCTTCTACGAATGATTTGCGAGTGTACGACTATATCCGTGTCGATGGACTGATGATACCCCGTCATTTCAAGATCATATACAATAATAAGCGCCTGATTACCGACTTTCTTGCGGATGAGGTATCCGTCAACTCTGACGTCGAACCATCATTCTTTAACGTCTCGGCAGAACGTGGAAATCTAAACATCCCCGTTGTCGATCCTGCGCTCACTGCCTATATCGGAGAGAAGTACGCAAATTACCTATGGTTTGGTCGATTCAACTTCACAGCTATGGATTTCGACGCACAACAACCCTACACAGATATGCCAGGGGTGTGGGTGATCCGAATGCCTGGCGTCGCAAGTTATCGACAGATACTGCTCGAGACCGACAACTATGTTGTTGTTCTAGATGCTCCAAGTGAACAGGCGCTGGTCCTACTGGAATGGGTTAGGATCAATATTGGAAAGCCAGTGTCACAAATCTGGGTAAGTAGACCCAGATCATTGGGCTACAAACCATGTCTTCTCATCATTTCTGACTCCGGGCAGCCTACACACCATCATCATGATCACGCCCTAGGTGTTCCAAGCTTTGTCGAGATAGGAGCCGAGGTTGTCATTCCTAAGATGGCTCAGTCATACTATGCCAATATTCCTGGAGCTAAGTTCGCAACCTATGAGTACGTAAGGTTTGTAGATGTTTGTGGACGAAGCGCTAACATATCGCAGACGCGGTGCGCCTTACATTGTTCAGACAAGCGATTACAGGGCTACATTCATCCACGTTGAGGGTAGCATTCATGCTCAAGACCATAGTGTCGCCGTGATCATGCCTGCCTGCCCCACCAATGACAGCACTGTTCTAGTGTTCGATGCCGATCATGTAGTTCAGGCGCAGCTGATGGCAACTCACAACGACCACAACGAGCTCAGCCAGCTTGTTAATGCCATGGCAAAGCATCGTGTTGCCAAGTCAGCGTTGTGAGTTTCCGACGCGCCTTTCGTTCAGACAGTCACTTACTTCTTGAGCGTAGGCTTGTCCCTGTTCATGGTGAGCTGTCGAACATGACTACGATTTATAACAGCATGGGATATGTATTCCCCGAGTACAAGCCACTGGATTTTGAGTACCTGAGTAATAATTGCACAGCCTGATAGGCTCAGATGAAGGGCTGACCTTGTCACCCTCCCTGCAATACAGCCTTTGTTACTAGTGCCAGCTCTTTCGCAAGAATCGGACTTCTACTAATGCGTGTCGATGGATGGATTACGCGGAGGTTGGTTGTTGGTTGGGGAGTTAAACTCACTATCGGGTCACTGTACATAATCCGTGATATCCGTAGTTATAATCTCAGCGTCCCTGCACTGTGTTGTGCTGTGTTGTGCCATGCGCCAAATCAAGAGGACTTGCAGAAGCTTTCTTCGGTGCTTCGTGCGACATTTGAGCCCACGCCTTCGACGACAATCCTCAGAAAGTCGTTGGTGGGTTGCATAGGCTACAGACGAGGCGGGGAAATGTTGGGCGCCTAGTCACACTTTACCGCAACCAGCATCCCGTCCGCACTAGTCCTACACGCATCTACATCTCATTGGTGTGTCATAATCTGGAGGTTATGCATCCAGAACTATTTTGATAACAATTATGTCAGGAAGATGGCGAAGCTTCCTATCTCAACCCTGGAAGAAGCTCATCCAATGATAGACTCGTGATCGCTGGCGATTCATGTGAAAGTCAGAAAGCGAGTACGTTCACATATAAAAGGGCATATCCGTATGATGTAATCTCTCGTCTGGCTCATCGTCTTTCACATATCTCGACATGGCCGATATCCTGCATAAATCAGTGCTTGATATGTACTCCATGAAGGGAAAAGTGACCGTGGTCACCGGTAAGCTGTCATTCAACAAATGCCATACTCAAAATTCCTCAAGCCACTGATACAGATGTAGGTGGCGCTCGTGGCATCGGATTGGGACTCGCTGAAGCCGTTGCTGAGTTGGGCAGTGATGTCGCATTGCTTGACCTTTCTGCTCGACCGTCTGAGGGTCTAAAAGCTCTCGAAGAGAAGACTGGTACAATGTGGATGTATTATGAGACGGACGTAACAGACCGGGAAAGCCTGAAAGGGGCCATGAATGCTGTAGTGCGCACACTTGGGCGTATCGATAATTGGTATGTACGCATGTAAAAGATTATTGGCCTTCCAGTCACTGACGCTATACAGTATCTGTGCTGCAGGCATTGCGGCTGACAGGCCATTTTTTGAACATGGATGGGATCAATGCCAGAAGATTCTGAACGTGAACGTAACTATGATTGTCCTTCAGACAGCTATGCAGAGTCCCAAAGTTGACAATACACAGGTTATGGGAACGTTCTTTGCTGCGCAAATAGCCGCCGAACTCATACGCGCCCATGGTGAAGGTGGCTCTATCCTTTTCTTGTCCTCGCAAACAGCGCACAGCACGACACCCAGAGAGCACACAAGCATGTACGGCGCCTCCAAAGCTGCAGTGAAGTCGCTTGCTATGCATCTGGGTGTTGAGCTTGCACCGTACAAGATCCGAGTCAACAGTCTCTCCCCAGGATATATCGAGACGGAGATGGGCCGTGCAGCAGCCGAGGCAAATCCAGCAATGAAAGATGTGTTTGAGAAGGCGCCACCGTTGGGAAGACGTGGACAGGTGAGTGATCTGATTGGTCCTGCAATGTGGCTACTGAGCGATGCGGGCGCCTGGACCACAGCTACGGACGTTTTAATAACTGGAGGATTGCATGGTGGTAGCATGCATCTCAAAGTATGAGCGCTGAGAGACAAGCTGCCAAATGTTAGATTGCTCCTCGATGAAGGATTGCAAATCATATCAAGATGTCGTCTTATCCCCATCTCCTTGATCTCTAGTCCTCTTTTCTGTCGTTCGACCTTTTGCTCACGTGAGTCAACTCTTCAGCTACATCGTTCTCGATCCTCTGCGATCTCTGGTCCAACTGTGGGCTTGTTCAGTAAATCGTTGTCAAGAGCGATGCGATACTTACCCAATGAACAGCTGCAGTCGCAGCGAAGAAAGCGAAAACGACCACGATCATTGTGATATAACCCTTCTTCCAATAAGGTGCGTCGCTTGCTGGGTAAAGCACAATGCCCCAAAACGTGTACAAGATCGACTGCACCATACTCATGATGTAAAGAATGACCGATCGAGCTGCGTCGTCACCACCGCGCTGAGATATAACGCTAGCCCACCCATATAGAATAGGGTTTACAATGTATGAGGTACCGGCCAAGTAGAATGCGAAGAATGTTCCAGCAGTGGAAAGACTGGGTATGAGCAAGAGAATTGCGACGAGTAGCTGCAAAAGTCCAGCTAGTATGACCATCGGTATGCGGCGATTGGTCATGTCAATAACATAGCCTGCCCCGATATTGGAGACAATGGAGACTGCTTGGATACCTAGCGGGTAGGTCGTCGTGGCATGCGAAGGAAACTTTTCAATGTTCTCTTTCATCCATAGCAGAAAAAGGCCTTGTAGAACAATGGCTTCCAGTGCACAGGCTACCGCAGAGTAAAGAGTGAATATGTAGACATCTGGTTTTGCAAAGAGCCGTTTGGCGAGGGACCTGAGGCTGATGTCATGACTCCAGTCTTTCTTTGGTGGCAAGCGGTCAACTGCTAGCTGTATCTCCTCTTTGCTGAGATATGGAGCGTTGGTAGATTCTGGCAGATTGGGAAAGAACATGAGTCCAAAGATACCGAAGGGAATACCCATAGCGCCGTCTTACACTTCTTAGTGGTGTCGCATGATCTTGAGGTTGATACTCACTGATTATAAACACCCATTGCCACCCTTTCAGAGAGGTCTGACCATGCAGACTCTCATTCATCGCTGTCATCATCACCCCAGCAAACATGCTACCTATCTGTCCAATGGCTGTGAAGATGGCCGTTCGTTTGGCGATTTCTAGAGGTTTGTACCAACTACCGAGTATGTAAATAGTGCCACTGTAGAGGCTCGACTCAAAAAAGCCTTGGAAAAACCGAACCACACATAGCTGTGTATAGGTCTTACAGGCCGCAGAGCTCATCGTCAGGCCAGACCATACTAACAATGTGAATGGCAACCAGAAACGCGGCGCAAGTTTCTGGATGATCAAAGCATGGGGTATTTGCCCTACACAGCTACCTGCAGTGAACATGGAAAGCAAGATGCTGTATTGATTCCCCTCAAGTCGAAGATCCTCTTTCAGCCCAGATACATAGGCATTTGCGAAAGCACTGCGATCGAGGTAGTTGAAGAAGTATGCAGCGCAGCAATACACCTAGTATACTATTAGTTGCCACTATGTATAATTGCATGTTCTTCCAACCAGTATGAAGCAATCTGCTGTTGGTTAGATTTCTGACATCGGGAACGGTAAAGCCCTCGTCTGACGCACCGAGTTTGCGAACAAGTCGCTTTTCGAGATCTGCCATGTTTTTGAGACGTGTGTAACCAGTCAAAATACGATAAGAGCGAAGCATGCCCGCTGCATCCTCATGGTTTCGTTCAGGGACGAGGCGAAGTGGAGCGGTCCAAAGCGATAGGACCTTGGTGGCCGCTAGCGAGCCAATGACGTTGTAGCTTTTGTTAAGCAGCAGAAAGATTCCGCCATTGCTGGCATAATTTTGGTGTGCACGCGCAGTCTATGGATGGTGCAATCCGACCATGTCCGCCTGAAGCAGATGGGTTTACCATGGTGGGGGCTGATGAGCTTGGTCTATAGCTTACGTCCACGGGTCATCAAAACGCCGAGACTCAACGAAGGCAATGCATCGATAAGCGAAGCTGACAAGCGCAACATGAAGTAGCATTGGAAACGTTCAAGCAATATTTACTTTTAGCCTCGCGATACCGATCGCGACATGGCCACTTCGGTGCACACTGTCTCCCCTACCGGGCCGCACACCTGCACCGTTGTCTTCCTTCATGGACGTGGCAGTGACGGTGGCATTTTCTGCGCAAAGCTTTTCGAAAGCCAAGAAAGTTCAGGAAAATTCTTTGTCGACATATTTCCTGGCATTAAATGGGTGTTTCCTAGCGCAGCAGAACTCTATGATAAGAGTGAAGACGAGTTCCAATGGTTCGACATGTCATCAGTTCAGCGGCCACAGGATAACAGCGAGATACAAACACCGGGATTGTGGCGAAGCGTCGTGCAGGTTCTTCAAATCATCACAGAAGAGGCGGATATCGTGGGAAACCAAAAGCTAATACTAGCGGGTATGAGTCAGGGATGTGCTACTGGTATCTTTGCTCTGCTGGCCTCTGGGTTGCGGGTCGGGGGGTTTGTAGGGCTGAGTGGATGGCTGCCGCTGGCAGAGGAGGTACGGCGCGTCGTGAATGTGCCTGGTCGAGAGCAAGATGTGTTGAAGATGCCAGTGCTGTTACAGCACTGCAAAGACGACGACGTTGTACCCTTTAAACATGGAAATGATCTTAGGAAACTGCTTGAAGAGATAGGCATGTGTGTCAGATGGGAGTGCTTCGAGCAGGGCGGGCACTGGCTCAATGAGCCTCAAGGTATGGACGGCCTCGTGGAGTTCATCCAATCGGTGTTAAGAACTACATCAGGCAGGGAGAGAACACAGCACTGAGATTCTGTGATTGGCAGCGACATCCAGTGTCAATCTCTCATTACCCTCATCAACAACCTAGGCCTCTACAGCAAAGTTTTACCAGCCCTCAAGGCCTCGAGATCTGCCATGGTAAACCGGACGTACCGATTCTCGCCTGGTTTCATCCACATGACTACATCATTACCACCTCCCACAACCTTGGTGCCAAACTTATCGATCTCCATGCCTTCTTCACGCAAAGGCGCCTTGTTCTGCTTCTGGTTGTCTGTGTTGCTCGCTTCCTTCACTAGACGTAAGAATAGCGGTACCGCGTATCTCGGTAGTTTGCTTCTGGAGTAATCCAGCAAAGCTTTCCAATCAAATGTGTCGGGACTAACGCCATCAGCCAGCCGTAAGGCTACGCAGCCCGCGCGACCATCATGCCTAGGGACTAGGGTTCCATATACGATAGCTTCGCCTACACCGGGATATTTTCCGAGAACCTCTGCTACCTCGGCCGTTGACACGTTTTCGCTCTTCCACCTGAAGGTGTCACCTAGTCGATCGAGGAAGTACCAGCGCCCATCGTCGTCCCGTCTAAGTGCATCGCCAGATCGATAATACAAATCACCCTTCTGGAACACGTCCCTTTCGAATTTTTTAGCTGTAGCTTTCGGGTTGTTGTGATATCCAGCAAATGCTTGTTCATTCGGTACCGCGACTAGGATCTCTCCACCTTCATTGTACGAGTTGCGCTTCACGAATCCAGTTTTAGGGTCTCGTAGAAGCTCGCCAGTTTCCGGGTCAATGGGCACGGGTACGTAGATGTTGTTGAGAGCTCGCCTGATGATAGCGCCGTGTTGAGCAACAGTTGTCGCTGTAAATGGCCCTTTACTATGAACCACCATAGCCAGAACGCCCTCGGTGGAATTGAAGAATTCGATGACTTCTGGGACGTTGAACCGCTCCTTGAACCTGTTCCACACGTCCGGACGCATACCATTGCCGTACATGGCGCGTAGTCGATGGTCTCGTTCTCTCGGATGTGGTGGTGCCATGAGCAGATACCGCGCTGCTTCGCCGACATAGACGAAAACAGTGGATCGAGAGTCGTGGATATCATCCCAGAAAGTGCTCACTGAAAACTTCCGTCCTATTGCCACGCTCATTCCAGCAGTCAACGCGCCCATTACCGCTAGGCCCCCCGTACCATGAAACAATGGCATGCAACAATACCATCGATCTCCGTCCGGTCCTGCTTTTTGGTCGAACGTAAGGTTTTGCGGATTTCCTCGTTCGTGATAACGGTTTACCATGAACTTTCCTGCTTTTGGCAATCCTGTCGTTCCCGATGTGTACAGGAGGCATGTCGGATCGGTACCAACGACATTCTCTCTGTACTCATCACCTGGCACTTGAGTACTGCCCTGATATACCTTGCTTGTCAACTCTTCATCGACCTTGAAAGCCGTTACACCCATCTCCTCCACTGTTACCCTCACGCCTTCGAACCTCTCCATACACCCCTCTTCCTCGTCAACAAGCACAATCTTTACACCCGCGACTTTAAGGCAATGCACCAAACCCTCTCCCTTGAGGTTGTAGTTCAGATGAGCAGGTGCACACCCGATACAAAAGAGACCGAGCCAGATGACCATGAAGTCTGCGCTGTTCATCATATAAGTAGCGACCATATCTCCCGGTTTCACGCCTTGTGACAAAAAGAAGTTTCCCCATTGGACGGCGCGATCGTGAACTTGTTGCCAGGTGTAAGTTCTGTCGCGGGACCAGATACATTGATTGTTACTGTAAACTGGGACATGCGGAGCAAAGGAGTACCACAGGGATTGCCGTTTAGTCCTTACTGTATTGATTTAGCTTCGAGAAGGGACATTACGTATGCCATACGATCAAGTATAGCTGATGGAGGATGATACATACCTAGTTCCTCATAGTAGCCAGCCGCTCTCTTCTTGAACCTCAGTGCCCTCAGATCCTGTCCAATGTGGTATTTGCCGTTGACGTATGCTGCTAGCCCGGAAATAGCTGCCACAGATGCAGCGGCCGCCGTTGCATCCATGTTTGCTTGAGTAGAATCTTCTTTTTTTTTTCTGTTCTCAGTAGGATGCAAGGTTGCAGTGAGAGCGCAGAACAGGAAGAGAGAAGCTACAGGTTAAGGAGAAAGTTCAATGTTTGGCTATGATCTTCACAATTGCCCGTCGTCGGTCCTACTGCTGAGCATGGAGCTAATGAGATGCCGAGGTTCGAGTCAGTACTGTGGATACAGCTTGACGCCACGACGCGTAGTGAGTGCGGGGTGACCTAGCGCGTCGGACAATTGATTGTACGTCGGTTACATGTCTTTGGGTAATTATTTGCGAGACTTGGAGCGAGGCTTCCAGAGGGCGAGCTTGTTCTACATGAGCTTGTTGGAGTGGTTTTCGACGGCGACAAGAGGGCATATTGCCGATCATGACTTCGACAGCGTCAGACCGAGCTATCCTTGCATGGCAGCGCACTGAAAGAGGTCCTTTCTCAAGCGGGAAAGCGCATATGCTCACGTATGAGTTTCTTGATATTATGATACAATTGCAGCGCATGGTTTTCAGCGAAGAATGCGTCCTTGCTGTATCTTCCACATGTATCCTGACTGGCTACTGTCGTTATCCTACTTGACCGTCTTCTTCTCCTTCTTGTTGATGGTTTCCGTTCCAGGGGGAACTTTCAGCCCTCCAAATACCAATGCACAGACTCCAACCATGCCGGCAGCTCCGGTTGCATATGCTGTTTCGCGGCCCGTCCACCAGTACAAAGTGCAGAAGATGAGAGGTCCTAGAGAACGACCGATTTGACCTGGCTCACGTCAGCAGACAGTTTGAGTGGCGCGATACTTTGACTTACCGAAGCTTCGATGATTGCCCAGCTTATTGCCTCGCTCATCGGCGTTCGCCTCAAAAGACGAGAGACTGTTGAGACCAGTGACGACAGTCGCGCTCGTTACCGCAAGAAGTGCGGCCGCTCCATACAGTGCGCCCTGTGTCTGAACCCTTCCAAGCATAAGAAACGCGATTGTACAGCTGACCACTCCCATCTGAACCACCTTCAGAGGGTGCATCCGCCGCACTACCGACCCTTGTAGTAGGGAAGCAACCAGGCCAATAAAACCAAGTAATCGACCAGAGTCCTTCGCCTGATAAGAGAAGAGATCGTAAGTCATAAACGGGAGCGAGAATTCCATGCCGCTGAAGAAGAGGATAAAAGTAAAATGTGTCGCGTTGAGTAGATAATGCGAGTTCGTTCGGACACGAGGTTTCGGTGCTTCACTGCTTTTGTCATGTCCGTTTGCTGTGCCGTTCTGAGCCTTGTTCGTCGAAGGTAGCGTCTCCGGGAGACTGGTGTACAGGTAGATGGTCTCCGAGATGATCAGGAATAAAGAGAAGCCTGCTGCCATGGCAAATGGGTTCTTGTCCATGACCTGCAATGTGGACAGGTATGCGCCCAACGCCGGGCCGAACGTGAAGGCGATGCTGAAGCACACGCCGACAAGGGCCATGGTGGCGCCTCTCTGGCTGTCGTCGCTAATGTCGGTCGCAATAGCCATTGCAAGCTGCACATTGCCCTCGCTCAGGCCTCCCACAACGCGACTGGCAAGGAACGTCCGGAAATCGGTCGCTGCAACCCACAGCGCTACGCTGAAGATATTGCCCACCATAGACCACAGGAGCGCTGTGCGCCTGCCATATTTGTCTGAGAGCGTCCCGATGAAGGGCGAAGCGATAGCCTGGCACAGAGAGAACAGCGATCCGAGTGCGCCGCCGAGCAGGACTATGTCGTAGCGGGAGTTGATAGGTTTCGCGAAAGAATTCTTGTATGCATTGAGACAAGCGAGAATCTTGGAAAGGATGGTGTTGGGATCTCCCGTCTCATGGTTGCGGTAGAATTCGATAAGTTTGGGAAACAGCGGAAGGATGAAGGTGAAGGATATCTGCATGTAAGGGGTGGTCAGCCCACGCGAGCGGTTACACGCGACGGAGGATGACGTACCAAGTCTAGCAGCAGCGAAATGAACAGCACTTTCAAGACCCTCTTTCGCAGAGTCGCAGACACCGGTGTCGTTTCGGATCCCATGTTGAAGATGTGCGATGGTTATCCAGCCCAGTCGCAAGAGCCCCGAAGTAGCGAATGGAGATGTGGACACAAGTAATCGGCGGCAGCTGTCTGGTTAAAAGCAGCGCAGCGATCGGATGGAGGGGGCAAGGTCTAGGTCAGCTCGGACTGCAAGCCCTCATCTAATGATTGACTAGAAATAGAACAGGTTGCGAGTTATAGTCATTGGTGGCAAGCGCCGAAGTGTATTCGGGTCATGACGAGGTTTGGCCGTTCGCCTGTGGCTCCGTTTGTGAAACAGGCGCGAGCGCGAGGTGGAACATGTGGGCACGAACCACATACATGAAACAACACAAGGAAGTATATGAGGCGACTAAGGCACTGAAGCCCACATGTTCAAGAGTCATTGTGTGGGCATGTCGTGAATAGGAGAAATGGCTTTTGCGAGTGTACGATGGCCTGAGTAGGTGCCCTGGGCGGGAAGCTCAAGTTGAGAAGCCGAGGCAATGTGTAGCTTCATGTCGATCATCAATCCGCAGCATCACCCGACTACGCCAATAGCTTGGTTGTAAACGGGGAGTCTCCCGACATTCCAAATGGTCTACGGAGAAGCTCGTTGTCTTGATTCAGATCACCAACGCGACGACGTATCCCCAAAGCATACGCTGTGATTCATACTATTGGATTACCAACGGAGATCACCGCAAGCACCCTAAGGTACTCCCTACACCCACCGCCTAAGCGGAACGAGCCTCTTCACAGTCGGGGTAGTCTCAACCAGATTCCCTTTAGTCCCGAATCCACCATGGGCGACCAACAAACAAATCGGCAAAAGGCAATGGCGGCCGTACATGCAATGTTCGAAAAGTACAAGTTGCTTGCAGCCCGCAGGCCCAAGAACCATGTCGTATGAAACTACTCAGTTCAATGGAAGAACTGTCATTGATCATGTCTAGGACTTTGACCGAGAAGTCATGTTGAATCTGGAGCTCGTGGATGCAAGCCTCGATGGTACAGTTACTTATGAACTCGTCATTGGGCCCAACTTTTCGAACTTGAACAGTAGGTGCTGTTCCTCGGGTACTATGACAACTTGGAACTGAAGTGCAGTAGATGTTATGCATGGAGGCGCCGCCGGTGTTATATTCGACATGTCCACGACGACGGCTCTTTGTCCTCTTGCTCGGCCTGGGTTCTGGGAATTCATGGGCGGCGTAACTCGTTCTCTCAACATCTCCTATCTTAAGGCGGTGCCCATCAACACCAGGGTGCGACTCAACAGCAGAGTGGTAAGTGTGGGCAAGCAGATGGCTATGATCCGAGGCGACATGACCAGCCTGGATGGCAAGACAACATACTGCACAGTGGAGCACCATAAAGTGAATGCGCCTGTGGTCAAAGAGCATCTAGATGTAAGAACAGCGTGGGATGAAGAATTCGCGAGGGAATGGAAAGCGAAGGGCATGAAAGAAGTGAAGAGCAAAATATGATGAAGTTGCCCAGGCCCAACGCCGAGACATGCATTCTGGATATTTGATTCATCATGACTATGGCCAAAAGCGGTATTGCGAAGCATTGGCCTACTTCCTCTTGTTGAACTTCTTGGACTCTGCACTGGGTCAGTATCTCTCGCAAGATGCGTCTCCAAGACATGGGTCTTACCGGCGGCGGTCCTCTTCTTCTTGGGCGCACCCTTTCCTCTCGACTTTGCAACGTTGAGATGCTCCAACCAGTCTTCCTCCTCTTCGTCGATAATCTGGTGTTCGGGGTACAGGCTGCGCAACTGGCTGATGGTTCCTATCCGCGGTGGGTAGTAGGATGCGACGGCGGGGCCCTTGAGGCGCTGGTGGAGGATGCGCGATCCTAGACGAAGGCGTTCGGGGTTGTATGTGGTGTTGAAGACCTTGCATTGAACCTAATCCAGTCAGTCCGCCGAGCACAATGCCCCTGGAGCAGGCATCACCTACCCTCATCAGGTCCAACACCCGCTGCCGTGGTACTGCCATGGTGAATGCGATGCTGGACTGCAGCGTTGCGGCGAATCTGAAATGTCGCGGAGGTGCCCTTGGCGCTCGCGACTAGCGCGGCTGAAGATGTCACCAACGCTCACCAATCGAGACTGCGACCAAAACCACACCCATAGCTTAATTGCTCAACTTCACCATGGCATCGCAGAAACGTGGCGGGGGCTTCAATCACTATGGTCGCGACCAAAATCACAAGAAGCACCAGCCTCAGCATCGCAATGGCGCAGGCTACAACACTAACCCATCGGCGCCTGAGCTGTCTTCGAAAGACATGCAGACGGGCCTGGTAGCTCTGTTGGACAGGTTTGTCGCCGATGAAACTACCATGGGTGCAGACAAAGACATGCTCCACCATGCGCACCAACTGCGCCGACTGCTCTGCGCCCGAAACGATTCAGCCTCTGCCAAAGCGAAGCGCGAGCTTGACCAAAAGAGGCCTGACAAGGCAGTCAAGGTCGCCATACCCGATTACGTCGAGCGAAAAGTACGAGTCGCCCAAGATCTGCCTCCCCTACCGCCCATCAATGAACCCCATCTCCACGAAGCCGTTTTCACTCATCGCTCCGCCATCTTCGATCCCAGCATTCCAGGCTCAACGCTCGGCGAGGACCTCAGTCTAGACTACGAACGACTCGAACTACTAGGCGACGCCTATATCGAACTCATCGCCTCCCGCGCCCTCTACAACCGCTTCCCACATGTCGACGTGCCAGAGCTATGCATGTGGCGCGAACGACTAGTCGAGAATGTGACCCTGGGCAAGTTCTCCAACGCCTACGGCTTTCCAGACCGACTGAAGCACCGCGCTGTGTGGGACAAGAACTCCAAGCAATACCAGAAGGTAGTCGCCGACATCGTCGAAGCCTATGTTGCAGCCGTCGTGCTATCAGACCCAGAGAACGGATTCGAGGCCGCCGAAGCATGGCTTACTGAGCTCTGGGCACCACAACTCCTAGGCTTCAGGGAGAAGATTATCGAGAACCCTCAGGCTAGAGACGAGCTGAACAAGCTTGTGCTCGGCAAAGGCGTCAAGCTCCTTACCAAAGAGGAGAGGCCTATGACATACGACTCCAACAGCGTGCAGTGCTACCATATCGGCATCTACCTTACTGGGTGGGGCTACAAGGATGAATGGCTCGGGAGCGGCGATGGCCAGAACAAAGTGCAAGCCGGTGTTGCCGCGGCTGCCGATGCCCTGAAGCGGAACGGTCCGGTCTTGCAGGACGCTGTACGGCAAAAGAATGAGCTGAGAGCGGCACGGCTGAAAGAGCAAGAGGAGAAGGAAAATGCTGCAGGGGGCACTGAGCAGCAAGCGACCCTCAATCCCAAAGAGTCAAATGGTAAAGCAGAAGTGTCAGACGGACAGGGTAACAGTGAAAAGAAGCGGAAAAAGGAAGAAGACGATACCTTACACGAGAAGAAGAAGCACAAGAAAGAAAAGAAGGAGAAAAAGCGCACAGCCGCAACTGATGATGACAGTTCCTAGATCGCATCCACGAATGTCCTTGAGCAGAGCCTTGCTAAGGAGATCAATTCTTTTAGGTGACCCGAGAGAAGTTTCAAGTAGACGATGGCCAGGTAGGTAGGTAGGTAGCCATCAAGACTTCTTCTTCTAATTGATGTTTTGACGATACCCGTCAACAGTTTTGCCGGCTATTCGACTCTCCGTCTATCGCGGCACATTCTATCGTTGAGAAGCTGAGTAGCTGCAAGGTAATGCCCTCCAAGCAACATGTGTCTAAGAAGACATCGTAGTTTACCGGAGCGTATAGAACACCTTGTCTGCCTTTGAGCTAGATCGATGGGCAGGTACACTGCAATCAAAGTTTCGGTAGCCCGTAGTATAGCTCAAACATGAAGATTGTATTCTCGTCATCCATCGAATGCCCGACTATAACCTAGCGTGTTACGCGCATCTTCTCTTTTGACCGCAAGTCTCTGGTATGCCCGCCTTGAACGCCATATAATTTCCTTGGATTCTCTCTACTTCTTCAGTGCTCGGCCCGCGATGTCCTTGCGGTACTGCATGCCGTCAAAGTGTATGCACTCCACGCCCTTGTAAGCCTTCGCAACAGCCTCCTCCAGTGTCGGCGCAGTGGCTGTCGATGCGATGACGCGACCACCAGCAGTTTTGAGTGTGTTGTCGGAGAAAGAAGTTCCAGCGTGGAAAAGAACGACATCTGTACCGTGTCAGCATGGTCACTCGACTCCATCATCGAATGCAAGAGAAAACTCACCCTCTGGCACAGCATCCAACTTCATGACTGTGCCCTTTGCGTAACTTCCAGGGTATCCACCTGCAGCTACAACAACCGTCGCCGCACTCTTGCTCGAGACTTTGACGTCCACATCCTTCAACTGTCCGTCTGCACATGCAGCCATGACTTCAGCAAGATCGCCTTCCATGAGTGCGAGTAAACTCTGTGTCTCTGGGTCGCCGAAACGAACGTTGTATTCCAATACCTTGGGTCCGTTCTTGGTCATCATAAGTCCAGTGAATAGTACACCCTTGAACTCAAAGCCTTCGGATCGCATACCATCAACGGTGGGCTGGAGGATGTCCCTGTCTACGCGCTCGAGTACGTCCTTGGGCGCGATGCGTGTGGGCGCGTACGTTCCCATTCCTCCAGTGTTCGGTCCCTCGTCGTTGTCGAAGATACGCTTGTGGTCTTGTGCTGGTGGTAGGGATTTGATCGTGCGGCCATCGCTGAACGTAAGGATTGATAGTTCGTCGCCCTCCAAAAACTCCTCAATGACAACCTCGTCACCCGCAGTTCCGAATTCTCGTGTCAGCATGATGTCTTTGAGCGCTGCATGTGCCTCCTCTTTGGTTTGTGGTATGATGACACCCTTGCCTGCTGCCAGACCTGAAGCCTTGATGACGACGTTGTGTGAGATGGAGTCGAGGTACGCTTTTGCGTCGTCGTATTTACTGAAGTTCTCGTACGCGGCGGTGGGGATGTTGTGTCGCTTCATAAAGTCCTTGCTGAATGTCTTGCTGCCCTCCATACGTGCGGCAGCCTTGCTTGGTCCAAACGCCTTGATGCTCTTGAGACCATTCTCCTGAAAGTAGTCGACAATGCCTGCTACGAGTGGTGCTTCAGGTCCCGGTATTAACAAGTTGACGTTCTTCTCCTTTGCGAAGTTGACGAGACCGGCAAGGTCGGTGTCCTTTACATCTGTTACGTTGGTGACTTTGCTGTTCAGCGTCGCGGTACCGCCGTTACCGGGGCAGACGTAAATGTGCTCGATCTTGGGCGATTGTAGGAGTTTCCAGGCGATGGCATGTTCGCGGCCGCCGTTGCCGACAAGTAGAACGCGGAGAGATTCAGACATTGTGTTTGCTATATGAAGGGTCCAGTCGTATCTTGAAGATGTTTGCGATTGGAAATTTTTGGGAGCGGAAGCGGACCCCCGCCGTGGGGTAAGCGTGCAGGGATCAGCGGGAGTGTGAGGTCACCCTCAGCCCTACCAGTTCCCTTGCCAACTACGAAGTGGCGGTGTTACTATAGTATGTCATAAGAACCTGGCTTTCAATTGACGTATCGCATTCCATTGGAAAACAAACCAGACTACGGGGTATCGATCTAAGAATGATGTACACACGCAAGATTGCGCGCTGCATAGTATGGCAACACAAACTCCATGTCTACACGACGATGGATCTGCCTTCGTGCAGTCGTCCAGAAGACTGCTTGCATCTGCATTTACACCTGCAGCCTTTCCTCAGAGAACCATACCAATAGTCCTTTAGGCTCGCGTCAAGCNGGAGTATCTGCACAGAAACAAGGATATAGATGATCTGCCGCCTTGTGCTCTCCTCGTGCGTCGCAAACCAGTAGAGCATGAAGATGGAGATGGATCTCAACAACATCCATGTGATATCGTAAAGAAGGTAGCCGACGACAGACGACCATCCGTCATGCTCGCACTTTTCAGAGCATTCTTGCGTATTGGTTGTATGGCGGGAAGCGCTCCTTGATGATTGCTGATCCAGTCTGCTGAGGGCGTCGAGTCCTGACGATCTCCGTCGTGAGACACCTGGCATAAAGTCACATCAGCCCAGGCCGTTGTGATTCTGCTTTGCCTTCATGAAGAGCTGACCTAGCACATCGTTTTGCGCTGGGCCAGGACTCGGCATGTATCCTTGCTGATGCTGATGCATGCTGGGCATAGGGTGGGTGTTGTGGTTGTGGATGCTGAAGCCGGCGTCTTGCTCGCGCTGTTGACCGAAGAGTTCTCGCAGCGACAGTTGGCGACCCATGGGGGCGGAGGACGCGGCTTCGGCGGGTTCGGTCGCCTTGGCAGTGGGCTCAAGGGCTTCGCGACTCGCTCTTGCCTTGTCGGCAATATCCATCATCTTTGCGGCAGTCTCGACACGGCAGTTGGCGGTGGAGGCAGGCGGCGGGTCGGCGAAGATCCAGATGCCGTAGACCTGCTCGCCCTGGATGATGACATAAGGGTCTGATATCTCCATCTCTTCGCTGCTTGTGAGCTCCTGGTAAAAGTTGTCTAGGCCGCGGCGGTTGAGGATAATGGCGCAGTATCGCTCAGCGCCAATGGGGGAAGGGGGGAGCTGGCAGATGAAGAGTGTGCCCTCAATGCCCATCTTCTCCCATGACTGCGTTTCGAGGTTGAAGGTATACAGGGCGGCATACGGAGTGACATGCTCGATGGATAGCAGATCGGCGTACTGGCGACGGAGGACGGAGAAGTTGAGCTCTTCGTTGGACCGCGGAGGTGGGAGGGGCACGTCGACGGCAGGCGGCGCGTCTGTCTCGTAGTCTGACGGCTGTGGCGGCGGCTGGGGCTGGTTCGCGCGGGCTTTGCGGTGTGGCGCCATGTCTGGTTGAGGATATGGTGGTGGTGAAGGAGAATGGGCTGCGAGTGGGTTTGGGTCAGTCGGGCACTGTGGGAGAGCTCCTGTATGCAGCCTGCGCGGCATGTCGAGGAAAGCTTGGGCCTGTCAACGCACCGCCATAGCATAGCCCTAGCCCTGCCCTGTCCGCGCCTTCACCATCGTCATTGCTAACAGCGGCCTGTGGCTCAACTGCCCGCTTAATCGCATCAAGTCGTCACTATGGGGCGCCCGCGCCTTCACTCACGCAGACCCTGCATCCCCTCCCTGCAAACCCCCGGCACCTCTCCGTCACCCGTACCCGCCGCCATCCTTCTGCCCTCACCCCGCCATGGCGCCCGAAGCAGCCTCTTCTGTGCGCTCCACCGAGCGCCTGGATGCGAGTATCCCTGGCGCTTTCCTTGATCCGCGCACTCCAAGCATAGCTTCCATCACCACGCACCAGACGTCCCTCTCGCAAGCCCTCTACGAGCGCCGCGCCGAATACACGCGACCGCGCAATGTGCGCATCAAAGTCGGCACCTGGAACACGGGCGCCCAAAAGGGCACCGAGCAGGACATTGGCAAGTGGTTCATCCAGGGCAAGGGCATTGAAGAGTCGCTCGCTGGGCTCGGCGTGTCTGACCCTGGGGAGCACGGCAAGGGCGGCAGAGAGAGCGTCCCAGCGCAAGAAGCACGACATAGCACGCGGGAGCCGACTGTCCCTCACCACGAAGCAGGCGAGGTCCCGGGCGGAGAGGACATCGATATCTATGCGCTTGGTCTGCAGGAAATTGTCGACATCACATCCGCCGCAGAGGCTCTGAGACCGTACACCGACCCCACCACGGCCAACAAATGGAAAGCGTCGCTCGAGGCTATTCTGCCCAAAGGTTATCAGCTGGTTTCTGAGCAGCAGCTGATTGGCCTATGGCTGGTCATCTATGCCTCCCCAGAAGTCGTACCGCAGATCAAGAATGTTAGTACCACCAGTGTGGGTACTGGCTTGATGGGCTACATGGGCAACAAGGGTGCTGTAACAACCCGCATAGTCTTGGGAGAGACAACGCGACTTGTCTTCATAAACTCGCACCTGGCTGCTGGTGCAGACAAGGCATCCTTGGACAGGAGGAATTGGGACGCTGCTCAGATCAACTCCCGAACGCGCTTCGACCCCATCGTTGACGCCTTGGGATCTTCGCAAAACACAGGTGAGGGTCTGGGTGAAGAAGACTTTGCCTTTTGGTTCGGCGACCTAAATTATCGTCTCAACGGTATGCCGGGCGACGACGTGCGTCGCCTGCTCACGATTCACACAAAAGACATGGACAAAGAAGGAGACCATGGTCGGTCGTCTACATCTGGTGATTCCGCATATGGCTCAAAGCACTCGTCTGAGGATACGCGCGACGCCGTTCCCGAGCCAGCAGAACTCGATCCCGCTTCGCTGCAAACCACCATCTCGTCGTTGCTGCCGCACGACGAATTGCACCAGATGATGAAAGGCGGCAAGGCTTTCTACGATGGGTGGGAAGAGGGCCCTGTCCGGTTCCTACCGTCCTATAAGTACGACATCGGAAAGGTTGGCGTTTTCGACTCAAGCGAGAAGCGCCGCTGTCCCAGTTGGTGCGATCGCATCCTCTACAGGACACGAGCATCCAAACAGCAATATGACAGGCGGATAGAGGATCAAGAAGCAGCGCGCAAACACGACGAAGAGATGAAGTTGAAGGGTATCGACGTACCAGGAGACTACGATGTCATGTATGAGTACGACCCTGACACCGATGGGGAGACATACGACGAGTACGAGGAAAATGAAGACCCTGAGCCTGAGCCAATCAAAACAAAGGATGATCTTCCTGTAAGTTTACGGCACTGTCCCTAGCTCTTGGTGTTGGAAGAAACAATTGACTGACTGCTATCGTTTAGGCTGAGCTGCTACTCGAGTACTACACCACCCACATGCGCGTCCTCAGTTCCGATCACAAGCCCTTGAATGCAGTCTTCAAGTTACAATACGATGCTGTCGTTCCGGAGCTGAAGACTGCTATCCATGGTGAGGTGGCTCGTGAGATTGACCGTCAAGAAAACGAGGGTCGGCCGTCGATTGCGGTGGTAGTAGAACGCGCGACCGGTTCTTCGCCCGACGATCGGAACAAAACAGATAGCACATTTGAAGGAGTAGACTTCGGTGACGTCAAATTCGCAAAGTCCTCGAGACGCAACATCACCATTGCAAATACTGGACGTGTACCAGCTACCTTTGGATTCGCCGATCGCCCGGTAGATAAAAACCAACCTGCTGGCCCGTTCCCCCCTTGGCTCTCTGTCACTTTCGACAAAGCACAAGACAAGCTCGATAAGCCAAGGCCAGACGATATTCATCAATACTTCACACTCGCCCCTGCAGACGTGCTCAATGTCGAGCTAAAACTCAAGATCGAGAGTCTGAATTCAGTGCGCGATCTCAATGAAGGGGATGCTATGATCGACGAAATCCTCGTCCTACGCGTTGAAAATGGACGCGACCACTTCCTTCCTATCCGCGCTCATTGGCAACCGTCGGCACTCGCACGATCCATCGACAAGCTGATCAAGATTCCCGAAGGCGGTATCAGGAAACTACAGAATCAGATACCAGCCCGTGGCGAGGTAAAATGGAGCGTGCCTAGGGAAGTATTCCGGCTGACCGAGGCGATAGAAGACTTGACGGAGCGAACCCTAGCCGAGTGGGACATGACCAAGAGTGAAGGAGAGAGGGCACCTTGGCAGGATAATGCAGGGTGGCCTTTTGTCAAGGGTCGGAGTGGCAGCGGACATGATTGGGAAGACGAGCTCGCAGAAATCTACGACGCGCTCGACTGCGATACGCCATTCATCGATGCGTTTTATCCAGAGACCCGCAGTAAAGAGCGCGTTGAGATGTTGGCCGAAGCCCTCATTACCTTTCTGACTAGCCTCACCGACGGCGTAATTACTAAGAGCCTATGGGAGAAGTTGGAAGAAGCGTTAGCTCGCCGCGAGAAGGCTGCGAGAACTACACCATCTCTCGACTACTCCACTGATGATGAGAAGATGACCATCCTAGAGGTATTGGCAACAGCGCCCAACCACAACGCTACCTTCCTCCTCACACTATCCTTCCTCCAGAATATCGCGAACCAGATCACCGAGGTGTCAAAACCGCGCCCAGAGGATAGCAGCAAGAGAGCAAGCGTAGACATGAGCCTTCCGTCCAGCCCTCAAGCAAAGGTTAGAAGGAAGACACTAAGCAAGGTGCCGGAAGTCGCTATTCGACAGCTTATTGTGAGGAACTATGCTGTCGTCTTTGCGGAATGCTTGGTCAAATGGAAGGATGGGGGAAAGGAGAAGGACAAGGCAGCTAGGAAAGAGAGGATGGTTGGAGTGCTGGAATTGTTCTTGAAGCAGGACTAAGGTGCAAAGTTGACAATTGATGAGCGTGACAGTCAGACGGCGATGATGCAGAAGGTTATAATGATACCCGATCAGTATATAGACCATATCGATTCGAGATTCCCAATTGCTGAATTCAGTATCAGGAAGAATCACCGTTGGCTGGGAGCCACGTCTTCTTAATCACGGCAACGGGTAGATCTCTGTCGGTCAGAGATGTCCAACGTTCTAGATGCCGACAGGGCGCGCTATACCACAGAAAGAATAGCGCTACCATGCATGAACCCAGGTTGAACCTAGCGCAACCGAGATATCAAAAGTCGCGCTTCATAAAATCGCTCTGCAACCCCTTCTGCAACTCTACAATCTCAATTCAACGTAAACGCAGTCACCAAAATGTCTTCCGTTACCCCTGCTTCACAGATACATCTCCGCACACCCCCGGAGCCGGGAAAGAAGACCACGTCCAGAACCTACCTCATCTATTTTGTCACCGGAAATCCTGGTCTCGTGGAATACTACCGCACTTTCTTGACACATTTGTACGGTCTGTTGAGTCACAACACAGCATCTGATCGCGATGTTGAATTTCAAGTCTACGGAAGAAGTCTGTCTGGTTTCGAAATGAACAATGCTGAGATCAAAACGATGAAATGGCGGAAACAGCCCCCATATGGACTGCAAGACCAGATCAGGCATTCTGAAGACGAATTGGCGGATTTGGTAGAAGAAGTTAAAGAGCAGGGAGCCAAGGATGTCAGGGTCATTCTTGTGGGTCATTCGGTGGGTGCGTACATCTCTTTGGAGATTATACGTAGGTTGAGGGCACATGGAATGGCGGGCGAGGATTTCGAGACGAGGGTTGTGGGTGCAATCGGGCTGTTTCCTACAGTTGTCGATATTGCGAGAAGCGAGAGTGGGATGAAAGCTTCTGTAAGTGGTTTCCACCATTCATGTGAAGATCGCCCAACAAGTATTTGAAGGCGCCTCTTCACACTGCTCCTGTCGACATACACTAACGATCTTACGCAGCCATTCCTGAAGAACTCGAACTTCGCAACATTCGCAGCGCTCTTCGTTAACTTCTTAACTTTTCTGCTTCCCATTTCCCTCATTGCGAACTTGATAGCAAAGTTTATGGATTTCCCCTCAGACGCGGCGCAAACAACTGCAGCTTTCGTTAAATCACCCCATGGTATTCACCAAGCACTACATATGGCGCGCGACGAAATGTTTCAGATTGACACCGACATCTGGGACGAAGAAATCTGGGGCGCCGCCGCCTCCGAACCCGCGACCAAGCATCCGCATCCCCGGCCAATCTTGCGCTTCTTGTTTGCGCGCGAGGATCATTGGGTCGCGGATGCGACTAGGGATGCACTAATTCACAGCCGTGGAAGATTCAGCCGTGGAGATGGTGTGGATGAGATTGAAGGGCAGGGCGAGAATTGGAAACCTATCATGGAAATTGACGAGAGAGAGGGATGGCCTCACGGTTTCTGTATTCGCCATGGAGTGCCAGTCGCAGAGAGGGTAGCTGGGTACGTGAAAACGATTGTGGCACAGGATATGGCGAGGAAGTAGTAGCTATCAGATTCATAGTTTCCATGGCACTACAACCACGAACTCATGGGTGGGACAAATCCTTACCCAATTTACTAATGAGAATTTGGGCTGGAGCTCTGCAGTAGCAAGTAAAGACCTGTAGGTACCTTTCGCTATCACGATATGAGGCTAGGCCATGACACCGGTGGCCGGAGATCATCTTCCCCGCTTTTCGCCTACTCGCCCATCTCTTTCTCCATTCAGATCTCAGGACTTGTCTCCTTCATTCGTTCTCTGTGCGACTGTGTAGCTTTTGAACTCCAGACGTCTTTGCCTCACTATCTGCTAGCAGCGTCAGCGCTGCATCCACCATGACACGTAACTCCCACAAAACTACCGGCTCCCACAGTCAGCTATATCAACACAACGAGCTGCCTTGCGATGGATCCCTCCGCTACCTTACTCTTCACCGTGGCAGTGGCGCCGATCCACCTAGATGTAGTTTACAGACAGGGTCTGTGTTAAAAACAAAATTCGAAACTATATCGTACGTGTGTGGAAAGAGCACAAAGAACAAGAAGATCATATGCAATGGTCGTATTATCAATATAACGACTAGCCTGTCCAACGTACTACGACGTCTTAGACTTCCTCATAGGCGCCGTAAGCTGTGGACTGATGGCACCTGTATCAATCAGGATGATCTGAACGAGAAAGGTCATCAAGTATCGATGATGGGGGAGATTTGCCGTTCAGCGAGTCGAGTTCTTATCTACGTTGGATCTGATGATGATGACAATGGTCCACAGTTGTGCTCCTTGCTGGATGATGTCAATCGAATGATCGATGAGACATACGAGCATATTGACATATCATAAAATTCTTGTCCTTGTCTCGCAAAAGATGATCCCATCCGATCGGATACTCGATGGGAATTCCTCACCCACATGAGCTGCCAGGACTGGTTCAAGCGCGGTTGGATGGTACAGGAAGCCGCCCTTGCACAGCATGGTCAGGTCGTTTGGAATTATACCACTTTTAGCCGGGAAAACCTAATGCGCACAGATTTGTGGCTGATCAGGCGCGCTTCTGATCTACACCATGAACTCAATTTGAGTATCATGGCATGCCACAATGAAGCTTACAAGCAACGAAAGAAGGCTTTCGCGCGGATCTTCTCTCAGGAGTTAAGTTAGTCAGCGCCCTCCTTTTGACGTACTCTCAATACGGCAAGGCTTTTAGATCTTTCAGATGCCCGCAACAGAATCTATGCTTTCATGGAGTTACTAGAAAGCTTCGAACAGGTGCTCGCCATAAAACCCAACTATAACCTAGCTCCTCCTGGAAATCTATCGGCAATTTGCAATGCAGTACGTTCGAGAGACTAAGAGTATCGATATTCTGGATTTTGTTCAAAACCGCCCATGTTCTACCGATTTTGATGGACCTTCTTGGATACCCCGCTGGGACGTTGCCAGAATTCTTTTTGCGCCACGATTCCGCCAAGATGGAGTACCACTTAGTTTACGTGAAGGATCCATTGTTGAGCCAGAAGCCATAGACCATCAGATTCTATCAGCAAGAGGTGTTGTCACTGATAGCATAAGATTCGCCTCAGATGACTTCGAATATGACCTCACAACGCTGCAATCAGTGCGAGAACTGTAGACAGTCGTCGGTTCCATGCTTGAGGACTCACCTTATGAGTCCTCCTATAGGCTAGATGCTTTCCTAAATGCTTTGTCTTTGGGCAAATAGGACGGGGAATGGTGGGAATGGTGGCAGTCTAGAACTGCATTTAAGGCATACCTTCAAACCGAGCACGATGGAAGGGCGCTCAACGAGCCATCACATCACGATCATATTTCAACAAACAGAACCTTGGAAGTCTCAAGAATTCATATGCAAGGCACGCAATTTATAGACATGATGCGTGGGTACATTGGTCTAGCTGATGTTGTTGTTCAGAAGGATGACCTTTGTGGAATCATTTTCGGTTGCAATATACCTTGCATCTTGCGTCAAGTTCCTGATAGCAATTACTACAGATTCATCGGTAGTGCGTATCTCATGGGCAACAAGGTTTATGAGATAGAAGAGGGCATCGTCGTTTTTCGCGACACTCTAGGTCACGAAGACAGCAAGGATTGGGTTGAGTGGGACGTCGAAGAACAAGATATTTACCTATTCTGAGGCTGGAAGACCCAGTTACCTTTCTCCAGGATCGCTGTCTTAGTCGCAGCTTTGGAATTCTCTACGAGTCAAATGATGACTGGGAGAATCCTGTGTGGAGACTTGCAAATTATTTGGGAGGCTTGGGATGTCGCTCATACCTATTCAACCTTCTCATGTCGCTTGCGCGATTTGACCTGTCTACAAATCGAAAATGAGGGAATGCCTCGCCCCTACCTGAATGTCTCGTCCTAGGTTGAATTTAGACACTATTCTGCTGTTTGCTGAAGGACTGCCCCTGCCGTGAGCATAATTTCAAAACGGGCTGAGTCTTCCGACTCTATGCAGGACAGTGAGGCTCGTGTAGATCTTAGAGACCTTCACCAACTTATCTCGCGTCGGGTGTGATAGTGGAATAGTGGCTTTTGCGAGAAGGATGGCTGCGCCCAGGGGGCCTAAGATTAGGGAAGGCGGAGAAGCGACTCTGGTCGTGATTGGTCGAATCGTACGTCGTTGACGAATGTTGTGGTAGATCCTTGCCTTCCAGCCTTACTACCAACTCTATCCCTTCCTCTCTTTCATGGCTATTTCGATGATTGACTTTGATGGACCAATCATTTCTCACTGCCACATCATCTCTACTGAACCTTGTTTGCGTGTTCACATGCTTTTGATGAATATGGACTCCCTACCCTACGCTGAGCCTAGATCGACCTCGTTAATCCAGTCCTAACGGTTACGTATCGATCATAAGTACCTAGAGTGCATTACAGCGATGAGCAGAGTCATAGCGAGAGCGCAGGTAGCCAATACACATCATGCGGACTTTGCGGTCAGACTGCAGTCTGCTTGGGTAGACCCAATGATGTTAAGGTTCAAGACGGATTTTTGGACTTAAGCTCCCCACAGCTATGTCGCAGTCTGTTATCACGGCCGAAAAAGCTTTCTGCAATATTTCCAATTCGTTTCGCATGTTAACATGCTCATTTCTGGAATTCGTGGCTGCTTATCCACGCGGAGGCGAGATACATCAAACTACCAGTCAGTCGATGGAAACCCGAGATGCACCAGAAACTCAAACAGTGTATAGAAAGCCTTAAATTCATTGGAAATGAACATTGCCTTGCGACTTCTGATGTTGTGGGGCGTGTGCGGTTTGATTTTGCACGAAAAGATTAGGCCCACAGCCTGCATCGCCCCCCGTCTTACGCCCAGGCTGCACATCTCAGTCGGGTCAACATGAACGAGCGGGCCAATCAGAGCGGCCATCTTTACGATCGAGACATGAGTGTTGTATATATACTTCAAGTCGCTCATGACACCATAGATACCAGCCTATCTAACTAAACCGCTACTATTCTTTCTATCTTCTTAAAGAGTCAATTCTGCATACCTCCAATTTTAGCCTCAGCATCAATCATTATGGATTCATTTCTCTACCTTGTCGCAAGAGCCGTCGACGAGAATGGCATTGACCCGGATCACATCGAAGTGAATACTACGGACCCACTCAAGATCGCGATGTCAAGGAAATACTGCAAAGTCGGCTCATGTCCAGAATCGTGGCAGGTTATCGAATATCGACCCAATATTGCAGGAAACGTCATCTACATGCTCCTTCTACTCGCGCTTTTCGGTGGACAGCTGTGGTTCGGCGTCCGAAACAAGACATGGTCGTTCATGGGCACCATGTGTGCTGGTGTGCTTGGAGAGGCCGTGGGATACATTGGCCGCATCATGCTCAATCTCAATCCTTTCAGTATGAACAACTTCCTTGTGTGAGTTTTCCGATTGGCGAAAGGCGACCATGAACTGATAGCAGCTAGTAATCTTATCCCACTTACTATCGCGCCAGCTCTCCTAACTGCCGGCATCTATCTCTCCTTCGGTCGTGTTATCGTCGCTATCGGTGCTGAGAACTCGAGGTTGAAACACAAGATGTATACCTATATTTTCGTCGGCTGTGACCTGCTCGCTCTCGTCCTCCAGGCTATCGGAGGTGGTATGGCCGCGACTGCCAAAGACAGTCAAGGTTCGAGGAAGGGTGTTGACATAATGATTGCTGGCCTTATCTCCCAGGTTATCACCATGACCCTCTTCCTCATTTTGTGGGCCGACTTCGCCATCCGTGTACGACGTGCGAAGATCTCAGGGAGCTTGTTGCCCAGTCAGCCGCCTCTCTACGAACACCTTCGCTCTACGAAAAACTTCACCTTCTTCCAATGGAGTCTTCTAGTCGCGACCGTACTCATCTATATCCGCTGTATATATCGTGTCGCCGAGCTCTGGGACGGCTTCAGTGGTGACCTCGCCAACCACGAAGCTACGTTCATGATCTTCGAAGGGCCGATGATCATCCTTGCAGTGGCCGTGTTGACGGTTTTCCATCCTGGTCGTGTATTCTTCGATCTTTGGGTGCCTGCTGGCAAGGGTGTTAGATCGATGGGAAAGCTCGCGGAAGATCAGTCTAGCTCGGTCCATCTTACTGAACATGAGTGGAACAGCACGGCCTACCAGCGTGTTGATCAGCCTAGAGATGTAGTTTGAAGTGACTGAGTTCACATCTCTCAGTCAAGGCGTCAATTCGAAGATGTATATTATCAAGGCGTCAATGAATGAATCATGTTCGTGTCTTGTGACATAATTTCTAGTCTTTTCGTGTCAGTGTGCTAGCGTACGAAGTGTGTCAAATGAACAGCAGATAGTCGGCTCAGCTGCATAAGGAATAACAGGTCTATGCATGTTCTATCAGGGTTTATGAGATACGAAAAGCTCTGGAACGACGGGCCATGTTTCGGCATCCGAAGCTTGACGTGCACGCGCTTGACATCGGGAAGCGAATGTTTCCCTCGGGCCGTGAAGAAAGG